ATATATATATAGTATGTACAGTATGTCTAGTGTGTGTGTGTGTGTGTATGTTATAATCATTACCAAGATCAAATAATATATTATATATAGTATATATATATATTTCATTGTCAAATCAACAAAAAATTCAACAATCAATTAAACTAGTTTTATATATTTATATACAGTATATATATATATATATATATATATATGATATAACTATTGGCAATAAAAAATTGTTGTTTTATACAACAAGTATTACAGTATATAATGTATAATAAATTATATAATTAATATTTTAACTTTTTTTTTAGTTTTATATTATTTTATTTGTAGTATTAGATTAATTATTTTTTTTTGAAAAAATTTAGTACAGATAAAAATATTTAGATTTGTTTGTTAGTTATATTTTATTAATATATATATATATAAAGTTTTATATCATTTTATAATAATTTTTTTTTAAAAAAAAGTTATTTTATTATTTTTCTATGGATTAATAGAAATCTAATTATAATAATCTGATTTTAAAAAAACTAAGTGATAATATATTTATAAATAAAAAATTTTTGTTTGTTTGTTTGTTTGCTAATTAATAATTTAATTTTTTAAATTCATCTATTACTGTCACACAAATAATAAATTATTTATATATATATATATATTGTAATTTATAATTAAATTATAAAAAATAATAGTTTTAAATTAATAATTATAGAGTTTGTCTGATTTTGATAGAATAAACAGTAAATAAATAAATATTTTTAAAAAAATTTTTTTAAACACAAACATATGCCATTGTAATGTAATAATTAATTATCTATATATAAATAAAATCACCCATATCACATATCCGATAATAATAATTTTAATAAAAATAAATTTTTAAATTAATAAAAACTAATAATAATAATAATTATTATTATCGTATTAACATATAATATAATAATATGATAAACACATATACTATAAATATGTATAGTATAACAAAATATTAGGATTATTAGGATTATACTAATTAATAATAATTATTTAGTATTTTTGAAATTATATGTAAAAATTTGAAATTAAAATAATAATAGTTTTTTTGTTTGTTTATTTATTTATTTATAACTATTGTTTAATAACTTACAGTTTAATAATAGTTGGTCGGGATTGGCTAACAGTATATGATGGTCGGCCTGAAAGTCGTCCAAAATGTTGTCCAAATCACAGAATCCAGTGCTACTACAGTTCCCTGGCTTACCGTCTAAGCCTTCTTCAAGAAACTTGAGATCAGTGGACGACAGCTCCCGTAGTTGTGGCGAATGCGATGTTTGAAACATAACGTAACATAACTGTGCCGATTGGTATGGTATGGACGATATGGACGGTACGGTTGGATAGAAACCAAATCCAAACAAACAAACAAAAAATAAAATAATAATTTAATTAAATTTTTTTATTTCTAAAAAAATAGTTATTAATTGCTAATTATTTAGTAGAGTAGTAATTCTAATAATTATATATATATTTTTAAAATAAATAAATATATATATAAGTATTAATTGTGTGTATTATTTATTAAATACCCAAAAAAAAATAATATATATTTTTGTTTTAATTTAATACCAGTCCATTTTGTTTGTCTAACAATCATCAATAGGTTTATATAATTATTAATTTCAATTTATATTTATCAACAAAAAAAAATAACTATACAAAAAACTACCTAGATAGTTATTTATATTTTTTTAAATAATGATTTTACTAATAAATTCAATATTATTATTTGTGCATGTTAAAAAATAATAATTACACTTAAATATTTCAATAAAATAAAATAATAATTTTTAAAAAAATAAAAAATAATCTATAATTATTATTTTAATTACTATATTAAAAAAAACATATATTAAAATTAAAAAATAATTACTTAAATAAACTTTGTTTATAATAACTTAAAGTTTTTAATCAATGGTAGTAAAATTTATAAATTAAAAAAAACAACAACAACAACAAAAATTTAGCATGCTAAATTAACTAAATATTCTACAGTAGATATAATTTATTGCTATAATTGAAATATATTTAATTTCAATTAATTAATTAATATTAATAATAATAAATAAAAGTATAATTGCATAATAATAATGTAATCTCAATCTCTCTCTCTCTCTCTCTATACAAACAGTCGCACACTCTTGTGTTTGCCATTCAAAGCACTGGTATGTGTGAAAAACAACATGTCGTCACACTATTTAAAAAAAACTTTTACTTTTATTTTCTTCAAACATATACCGAGATATGAGTCGCTCTCTATTGTCGGCTAATCGTAGCATTGGATTCATTCATTCATTCAATCAGTCAGTCAATGACGTCAATCCCTTTCCCAAAAAAATAATAATAAATAATCTACCGGTGCTTTCAATCTCAAACACTGGGAGTCGCGCCAGTAGTCAATGAATGAGAGAGAGAGAGCTTTGACCATAAGCTCTCTCTCTCTCTCTCTCTCTCTGAGAGAGTCATTCACTTTGTTGTCTTAGAGGTAAATAACATCAAACGCTCTTTCATTTACAGTTCAATCACACCGATAGTACTACACATACACACACACATACACACACACACACACACATACATGTATACACACACACACATACATACATGTATACACACACACATACATACATGTATACACACACACATACATACACACATACACATCAAGTATGACAATACTCTCTAATAATAATAATAAATATAAATAAAATTATTATTATTATTATTATTACACATACAATAATCGCATATTTGTCGCTAAAAATATGTGAGTTTGTTTGAACACCAGGTGCTGATGGGATTGAATTTTTTTTATAGATATATATATATATATATATATAAAAATAGATATCTATATAATTAAGTTTATAAAAACTGATCAAAAAATAAAACTAATTTCTAATTTTTTGAGGAAAAAATAACTAATTATTATTTGAAAAATATATATACATAATTAAAATGTCATTGTTGTTGATATGTTATGGGAATATACAGTATATATATATATATACTGTAGTAGTATTTTATGCTAAAATATGTTTTATTATGGATAACAAAAATATAATATACATATAAATATATTAAATATTTACATATATTTAATATACAATATTTAGATTTACTATATATATATATACTAACTATTTTACTTACTTATTGATTGATTGATTTACATTATTACAATCATATAATATTTTTAAGCTAGCTAATATATAATAAATTTTGTAACTAATATATATATATATATTTAATAATTCATACATGTTTATAATATACATTATATTAGATATATATATACAGTATATAATAGCTTAAATAGTTGATGATAATGTAAATCAATAAACAGTACAAAAATTTATGTAAATAAAGCTATAATATTATTATTATTTATTATTATCATTATTATTATTATTATTATAGTTATGACATATGATCAAATATGATTATGTTTACCATGGTAGTTAAATTACTATTTAAATATAAATATAAATATATAAGTAATAATTGATTGCAACTATGGGGTGGGTTTACAATTAAATACATCATCAACCATAATAATAATAATATTATTATTATTATTTAAAATTTTAACAAACAAAAAAAAATCTATTGTTTTATCATCACTAATTTATTCAATTAGATACTGTATATATTGTATATATATATATATACAGTATAAATTTATTATGTATACAATAGGGTTATATATATACAGTATACAGCAATACAATAGTAGTGTATAATAAAAAAAACAAAATGCAAATGTACTGTATGTCCATTATATGTATATATATATATATTTTTTATTATTTGTTGAAAATAAAACAATAAACTTATTTAAACCCCCCTCCCTCCCTCCCTCCCTATCCCGGTATACATTAGTCCCATAACAACAACAACAACAACAACAATATCACACAATGGTACATGGTAAATTATTTTTTTTTGTTAAATAAATACACACACACATATATATATATATATATATATTTCAAATATACATATATATATAGATAATAAACCGTAGATATATATATTTCAAATATAATATACTACTACTACTACTACTATTACTATTACACGTACCTTAAAGTTTTCATTAATATAATTATCTAAATGCCATTGCACTTGCACTGTATGGTCACACATATATATACAGTATATATATATATATAATTTATATATGGATATATATATCATCAAATATATTGATATATATATATATATATATATATAGCGATGAGGCGATGAATATTAAACAATATTATTATTATTATTATTAACGAATACCAATATAACAAAAAAAAAATAATAATAAAAATCAATTGATTAAAAATTATTTAAAAAAATATTATATAATATAATAATATATATATATATCAATGTTGTTGACACATGTGATTTATGGACAGTGTTTTATTTTGTCAAATATATTAAAATATACACAAAAAAAACTATTAAATTATTTGATTAAAAATTTTTTAATTAAAAAAATACGTTATTATTAAATAAAATAATTGCTACATTGTATCTTATAATACATTTTATCTATCATATTATTATTATGATATACAATATATTGAATATATATATATATATACTGGTATATCCATAGTATTTTTGATAGTTGCTATTTATATATATATATATATTAATATATTGTAAATATAAATAAATAATATATATATATATATATATTATTTTTTTAAAAATAAACACTTTTATTAACTACACTAAAATTTATAAAATTATAATAAAAATTTTGTTTTGTTAATCCATTCAATATATATATATACAGTATTTATATACACTTTATATAATAATAATAATCACTGTCTCCATAAATCACCATGATCAACTTATTGATATATAAATATTATTATTATTATTATTATTTAGGATGCCCATACCATTTAGTTGGTGGTTATAGATATCAAACAAACAAATAAACAAAAATATATTGTTTGAGTTGTCAA